GCGTCGTGAGAACAGGGACTCTACTTTTCCTTTTTTTTAAACTCTAGAATACCAATGTCTAGCAAGTACCTGACACAACACTAAATATCTGTTTCCTGACTGCGTTAAGCCTTAAGGAGATGGCTGAGATCTGAATTTGAGAGAGAAGGAGAGTAGCCCCATATCCTACTGAGTGAGGTGCATGACCGCATCCGTACACAACAGTGGCTCCTCCATATCACATTTCTGCTCAACACTGCGGCTGTGTCCCCACAAGAACACAGAAGGGTTGAAACGTGGCAGATTTTTCTGACAGAGGTCAGGGATCTGACTGTGCCAGGTAAGATGATACTAGATGCTAAAAAAAAGACATTAGATATTTACTAGGTGCCTGGCTTTACCATATGCACCATGGCAAAATAAAAGTGCAAAAGAAAAACACTGCAGTCCTTGAATAGGTTTATTTTAAAATGTGTTGTTTATTAGAGCATGATATGAGACAATACATAGTAAAGTGGGTGCTACCACCGTTCTGGGCAGGGAAAACTGGGTACAGGAGAGCAGCTTCAAGGTAGGCTATGCACTGGGCCTTAAGAGGTAAGTACCATTAGGATGGGAGAAAAGAGTGGGAATCCAGTCCAGGGACTGAGAAGTTAGAGAAGGGAGGCTGGATTTGGGAGGCACATGGCTAGCAGAGAAAAGGTTTGGACCAAGGCAGACATTTTAAGTTAGGCTGTGAGAAGTAACACCTTTCCACTCCTACTCTGTCCTCTAAACTTACAGCCCCTTCGGTTTAGGAACACAGAGCTGGCAGCCAACCTGGATTCCTTTGCTTCACTGGTTCCCCGTATTTAACACATGGCCTCCTGACTTTATTCTGCTTCCCCAAATAGGTTGAACTAAAGAATGTGCTGACCAGTAAACAAATGTCTAGTCCAGGCCACTCATTTCTTGCCCTGGCAGGACAACTAACTTCTGTTCTATTACTCACGGTCCCACCAACTCTTTCCTGTGTACTATCAGAGTCACTTCTCTAAAACAAATTTGATCATGCATAGAAACCTTTAATTTCTTCCCACTTTTCCCTATTCTTACTGCCCTCAGCCTAGTCCATGCCACCATCACCTCTTACCTGGACCACTGCTACTATCTCCTACCTTGTCTCTCCTTTTCCACTCATTCCCCACCCCTCCCAAGTCTGTTTTCCATGTAACTACTAGACTCATCTTGTTAAAACCTTTCAGAGCAAGTCATTCCTTTGCTTAAAAGCCTCCAATGGCATCCCAATTCATCCCAAGTAAAAGCCAAGGTCTCTATAGTAGCTATACAGCCCTTCACAATCTGGCCCCCCACTATCTCCCTGACTTCATCTTGTGCCTCATCCCCAACCTACTGCTCTCTTACCTTTACTCACCCTGCCCTCCTTACAATTCCTGGAATGTACCACACATGCTTCTGCCTTGAGGTCTTCACTCTGCCTGTTCCTTGACTTGGAAGCCTCTTCCTGCAGATATGCATGTGGCTCCCCACTCACTTCCTTCCGCTTTTTGTTCAAACGTCACCTCACCAGAGCCAACATCCCTGACCACACTACATAAAACAGCGCCCCCTAAACCCTGCACTGTCACTCTCTGTTCTTTTCCTTTTTCATAGTCCTTACACCTGACGTGTCATATTTTATTTGTTTACAGTCTGCATCCCACAGCAGAATGTAAATTCCAGGAGAGTAGAAATATTACCTATATTCTTTATGGCTGAATCTCCATTGGCTACAAGAGGCCGGGCATATAGTGGGTGCTCCATAAATATTTAATAAATTTTCCTTGAAATTAAAAACTAGACTCCTTAGTGTGAGCTTCTGAGCTCTTCCAACCTAGTCCTCACCTTACTTCTGCAGCCTCAGCTCTGGCTCCTCTTCCCCTTGTACACCATGATTCAGTGTGCAGAACACTTACACCTCCTTGAAAAAAAAGAACTCTTTCTCTTCTGCAAGTGCTGCTTCAAAATATTCGGCCCCAAAAAACAAAAAAAGAAAAAAAAAAAAAATATTCGGCCTTCCCTCCTCTGCCTACTAACACTCTCCCACCAAGACTCAGTCAAGTTCTCTCCTCAGGGGCTCCATTTCTACCTCCAGGTCTAGGCTAACCCATGCCCCCCACCTCCCCTCCCTAGGCTTCTCTTCAGCACAGCTCATAAGACACTACCTTATGGCAACTGTTACCTATTGTTCACTGTGCTTCTAGAGGGTCAAGACCTTGTCTCAGGCGCCTTCGAATCTCCACTGGCCAGAATCATTTTGGTACATAACGGACAGTCAGTGGTCTGCAAAATTAAATAGGTAAAATGTACTCTGAGATCCTTGGTGTGAGTAAGCCACTCTGAATCAGATCAACTTTAGGGCATCCAATGCAGGTCACACCTCAGACTGTAATAAAATGATCCAGTGATGTCTTGTAAACACTGCTTACCCTTCTTCCAGATTTAACTGGACCTCATAATCAACACCTTTTAAAAATTAACAAGAAGTATTAAATGTTCCCCTTCCTCATGCTGACATAAAGAGGACCTTGGCCAAATGATGGAGCCCAAAGCAAAGAACTGGAAACAGCACATACTAAGTTAAGAAGTTAAGTGTGTAATATCCTTGGGCAAATCACAGACCTCCTGGAGATCCAATTTTTTCATCTATAACATGGATTCCCTGAACTGAAGAAATAAGAGTTTTAAGAGCAGAAGGGTGAAAGAGTACATCCAGAAAGAACATGTCCAACTATAAAAAGACACACTCCTCCAACTCTAGCATATACTATCATCCCTGCAGGAGAAACCCCCAAAAACTATAAGTCAGGAAACTTTGTAGTTTTGCAACTTTGCAAAGCTCAAAACCAGAGCCTGGCAGCTAATGA